AGTACTGTCAAAAGCAATTATTGGTGGCTGGTTTGTTTAATCTGTCTTCACAGACTGGCAAAATCATTTTGTACTCATTGATCTGCTCAGCTCCTACCCGTGCCCTTGGCATTGAGCAGCATGCAGAAATCTAGTCCAGGACTGCTAAAAGCTATAAAGTACAAGTTTGTGTGCGTATACATAAAAAAACAACAGAGCCCTGGAAATACTCAGCAGGTCAGACAAAGTCATTGGAAAGAAGTGTTAATGTTTCATGTCAATGACCTTTCATCAGGATTGGCTACACTTACACTGTAAAAGCTATTATAATTCTATGTTCTTAATACAAAACTTACTCCTATGACCAATCTGTATATTTGTAATTACACTTGTGACATCATGACAGCAAACAAAAAGGACCAGAATTATAATCAGTCCATGCGTTTCTTTGGTAGGTACATCCCTGGTTTAAATTAAAAGATGAATTAATTATCAGACATCATCATTGCTGTGTAGAATCCAGGCTACTTTGCAGTCATTAGAAACATCCATTGCAAAGAAGTTTTGTTGCTGCGTATTGTCAGATCTTACAAATCGTTTAATGATCTCTTACATTAAAACATCTATTTACTTGTTTGAGATGACAAGGTGTACAGCTGGATGAACACAGCAGGCCAAGCAGCATCAGAGGAGCAGGAAAGCTGACGTTTCGGGTCTGGACCCTTCTTCAGAAGCTTGTTTCTGAAGTTACTAGTTTACTGCTTGGAATGAATTGCAATGTGCAAGACGATCATTTTTGCCTCTTTGTCAGGTGCAATGCTCTCACCATTTCGCTCTCACAGACTGCACCTCTCCACCGAGCAATTCTTTTGTCATAGATGCAGTCTAGATATTAAGCAAGTGGAAGGGAAAAAGATTAGAAAAAGAACAAAGGGGAAGATCTATACTGGGGAGGAAGGCAGAAGAGGATAAATAATAAAAGGGTTAGTAGTGCAAGGCCAACGGAAGTAGTTATGGGATAAGTAAAGAAACAAAAGATATGTCCAGAAGAGGTGTGAATGGCAGAATTGCTGCCCATAAGACAGTAAATCAAAATCCTATGAAGACAGAGGCAGAATTTACAGTCTGAAATCATTGCACTCAATGCTGAGTCCACAAGACTGTAAAATGCTTTATCACCAATGCGGTGCAGTTTCTCGAGCTTGAGCTTTATCGGAACACCATGAGACTGAGGACAGAAAGATCAGCACAAGAAGCAAGGTGGAGAATTAAGAACAGGCAGATGAAAGCTTGAGGTTCTGCCAAGCAGGTGCCTAACCTTTAGTTGATTCTCCCATGCTTTATGAGCAGTGAACTCAGTATTGAAGGTCAAACACATAAAAATTGGAAATTTGAAGTAAAGTGACCAAATCTTTTTAGTTTGGAGCAAATTCAGGGGCAGCATTGTGGCTCAGTTAGCACTGCTGCCTCACAGTGCCAGGGACCCGTGTTTCAATCCAGTTTTGGGTGATGGTCTGTGTGGAGTTTGCATGCTCTCCCCGTGTCTGCATGGGTTTCCTCTGGGTGCTCTGGTTTCCTCCCTCTGTACAAAGATGTGCAGGCTAGGTGGATTGGCCATGAAAAATGCAGGGTTACAGGAATAGGGTGGAATGTTCTTTGAAGGATCGGTGTGGATTCAATGGGCTGAATGGCCTGCTTCACACAGTAGGGATTCTAAGATCTGGAAACAACACAGATACGGCCACCAGTGTACTGGAAAAGGCCCAAGTAGAACAAAACAAGAATGACTGGGAACTTCGCACATTGTGGTCCAGAACTATCCAGATCCCTGGCTAAGCAATTCCAGTATGCTTACAACACTGTTATCTACCACAATGTGGAAAATTGGCAGGTATCCAGCAGAGGGGAAGAGGTGAGAGTGTTTGGGAAGTATAAAGCCCTCAGACTGTTCTGGCAAAGATGCAAGTGTAAAGGAATTGGTTACACACTTTTGCTTTTGTCTGAGTATGCACAGTTGTTTTAAAACAGAGCTAGCTGATGAGAAACTAATTTGCAAAGGGATTGTTTTGACATTGCCTGGACTCTGAGCCAGTGGAACCACTTCCTTAAACAATAAGCCTCAAAGAGATAATCAAATGACCCTGTACTTATGTCAAAAAGTGTATAAAAGGATGAGATAATGACATGAACAGCCGGTTAGACTGATTTATGTACCTGTCTCTCCTGTTTGTCTCAATCTCTTCATCTTTTCTCCTACGGAAAACGGAAGGTCTGTAAAATGATTAGGATTAAGCAATCTCTGTCATGCCATGGCATTGTTTCAAAAGAAATGATGTGTTTATAATAATTGTATTTTTGCTGTACCTTTCTTAAAACATCCAACAGTGAATTGTTTTTGGAGTGCAGTGAATGTTTTTCATATAACATCTGCCATTAGATAAATGGCCTGTGTATTTAAGTTGATAATAGTTGTGGAAGCTTTGTTGGGCAATGGGAGGCCACACTGCTCTTTGGGAGTGGATTCATTGAAACAGGTAGACATTGGGTTAATAGCACAAATTAATTGTTCTGATCAAAGTCACAGATAAAAGCAAACTAGAAGAGGTGGTTGAATCAATAAAAGTAGCTCAGGGATAATATAGAATTGAATAATAAAGGTAGCATATGATTTACCACACTTTATCTACATTACCTAGCTGCAACACAAGACTGAAGCTCTGACAAAGCTACCTAAATTAGATAGGACTGATTCTTCATCATTACTGCTAATAGGGACATGAGAGAACACACAACATCAGCAGAAAATACTGAAAACACTCAGCAGGCCATTATCCATGTTGAGAAAAACAGAGGTAATGCAAATTCCCCAGATAGATGACCCTCTGACAGAATTCTGGATTAGGAGCATTGGTCATTGCTTTTCTCTTTCCGAGGATGCTGCCTATCCTACTCAGTGTTTCCAGCATTCTTTTGCATTAGGTTTAGATTTCCAGCAATTTTGCCTTTCAACTTTCAGTATGTTTGCAGAACTGCATAATCTATGGGTTTAAGTTGGATGGCAAATCTGTGAGGTGGTGAATTTAATTCCCACTACTGGAACCTGAGCACAAAAATCAAGGCCATCACTGGGAGCTCTGCAGAGTTGGAGGTGTTCCAGAACTATTTACACCCCTAACTAAGTGGTTCCAGTATACTTACACTCTCATTTACCCACAATGTGCAAAATTAGCTGTTATGTCCCATCCACAAAAAGAATAAATCCAACCTAAAGAATTACTGTCCAATCAGTCTAGTCTCAATCATCAAAGAGATAAAAGGGTTGTTTACAGTACTATCAAGTAACACTCAGCAATTAGCTCTCACTGATGCCCAGTTTGGGTTCTGCCATGACCACTCAGCTCCAAGCCTCATGATAGCCTTGGTCCAAACATAAACCAAGAACTCAACTCAAAATGGAGAAAGGAAAGAGACTGCCCTTGACATCAAGGCAGCCTTTGATGATTATGGCATCAACAAATCCCATCAAAACTGAGGCAATATGTAACAAGGGAATACTCTGCTGGTTGCAGACATACCTAGCACCAAGGAAGTTGGAGAAACAAAGCAGGTCAGGCAGCATCAGAGGAACAGGAAAGTTGACATTTTGGGTTTACCCTCTTTGCCAGGACCTGACTCCAGCATCTGCAGTTCTTGCAGTTGGAAGTTGGTTGTTATTATTGGAGGTCAATCAGTTCAGTCCAAATATATCATTATAGGAGTTCCTCAGGGTGGATATTTTCTAATCACCCCATTCAAAGATGCTATTGTGCAACTTTGGGGCAGATGGGACAATCCCAGTTCTCTGGGTCCAGAGATACAGACACTAACTCTGCAGCACAAAAGCCCCAGTTCCTCAGATTAAAATCCTAGGCCCAACCGTGTAAAGCTGCTTCATTAGTGACCTTCCCGCCTTCATGAAGTCAGCAGTGGGAATGTTCACCGATAATTGTGCAATGTTTAGCATTCTATTCAGTAGACCTCAGATACTGAAGCAGTCCGTGTTCAAATGCAATAAGACCTGGATAAGGTTCAGGCTTGGGCCAATAAGTGGCAACATTCATGCCACACAAGTGCCAGGCAATGACTATTTTCATGAAGAGAGAATCAAATGCCCCTTGACATTCAGTGACATTACTGTGAGTGAATCATCCCTATTTTCAACATCCTGCAATTTACCGTTGACCATAAGCTGAACTGGGCCAGACATCCAAACTTGTGTCTACCAGAGGAGGTGAACGCGTGGGAATTCTGCAGGAAGTAATTCACCTCCTGTCTGCCCAAAGCCTGTCCGCCACCTTCAACACTCAGATCAGGAGTGTGATAGAATCGTCTCCACTTATAGTGGAGGAGTGTAGGATACATGAAGCTCAAAAATCATTCAGAACAAGAGAGACTGTGCTTTAAAAGTACTTATATGGTAGCAAAGTGCTTTGAAGCGCCCCGAAGTTGTGAAAGACACTATACAAATGCAACTCCTTCCTTCAGAACATTAGATTTGGGGGTGAGGATGGAGACCACACATTGTCAAAATGAGCAGCTGCAAATGTTGTAACATGCAGTAGGAATGAGGGCTGGGGTTCACTGAAAAATAGCTCCAGAAGTGAAGCAGATCTGTGCCCATAGCTTCATTCCGGCAGCGGCCCCCGAAATATCCTGACGAACGCTTTTTATGACATTGAGTGACTTTTATGGAAATAATTTAAAGGTTCTGATTCCAAACGAGGCATCTCCATAGAAACGCATTCCAGAAGCGCGGCGGATAGCCAATAAGAGGTGCGCACCCTGTCCGGTTCTGGCCAATCAGAGGGGAAGAAACCGTATTTGAAAGATTCGCGGGGAGTGAAGTGTATCTTTTTGAGAAATCCCGGAACTAGTGCAGCGTTGATTCTCCGGTACCGCTGACTGCTCGACCGACCGCAAGCCTCCCGCTGCAGAGGGACTCTGTGTAGGGCTCGTGACCGACCGACCGACCGACCGACCGACCAACCAACCAACCAGAGCTTTCTCCTCGGAGCTTCCCCTTCTCTCTGTCCCCTGAAGCTCAGCAAGGTCTCCAGTGCTGACGGCGATGGCTCTCACTCGCCGCAATGTTGTAAGTTCAATTTCCCTCTCGCTTCGGGAGGAAGCAGCACATGGTATAGTTTCCCAGCCCTGAATATTTTAACGGTTTTTTTTTTTTGTTTCCCGAGTATTTCAATATCTCTATTTTCTTCCTCCTACGTGGGAGATACTTATTGTAGCGTTAGCAAGCCAATTTGCTTGAATTGGGCCAATCTTCGGCGAACTTTCTTAAGGTTCCGGTTGAATTCGCATTGACTTGATTTTCAGGATGCTTGTACTTCCCTCAAGGGTCGTTTTAAAATACCAAACGTGTTGGGCTCTCTGTCTCTGTCTGTACTTTCCAACTCTTTTACCCAAATAATAGTCAAAACATATTGCTGGAAAAGCACAGCAGGTCTCGCAACACTTGTGAAGAGAGACTCCCTGAGCTTTCCAGCAACTTTATTTTTCTGATTTAAATCTAACGTGTTTTTCGTTTTCTTTTTAAATCCCAAATAATTTGAGTTGATTCCGATCTTGGTTCAGCTCCCACTAACTTCAGTTGTGCTGTGCTTCTAGGGTCTGAGTGTTCTTTATTAGAAAGAGCAATGCTGAGTTGAAACATTTGGTTATATTTTATCCGACATCTTGTGATAACGTCATACAAATCTTGAGTAGGAAAATGTCATGCACCATCTCTGTCAAAACCAAAATGGTTGCTGAGCTAAAGACCACTGGGCGCCTGCAGTTTTGCTCCGAATGGTTGAGGTTATTTTGTGTATGTGTGTGTGTGTGGAACGCCTCCACCGATCGTCGACCAAGCTAGTCTTGCTGTACCGTCCAACAAAAATCTTGAATCTCCCTATTAACACCGACTAATCTCTTTTTTTTTTTCGTGTTGCCTTGTTTTCTCCCTTCCCTTCAGCCTCTGCCTTGACTCGTCTTTAATGTCTCCGGGCTGCCTGTGTTTCCTACACTCACTAGCCACAAGACTTGTTGAGAAGTTTCTCTTTCTTTCTGTTGGTCTCACTTACATCACCCACAGTTGGTGAGGGGTAGTATCTCCAATCTGTCACTGGCCACTTTGTATTTCTTACCAATTTCAACTTTCTTTTTCTATTCTGCATCTTTCTCTTTCCACCTCACACCGCATTCCCCCATCCCCCAACCCCCTGACCAGGGGTGAGAATGCCCAAACTTAGCCCTTTCCTTTTCAACTTCCAGCCATCAGTTTGCTCAACTATTCCTTTGTCTTCTGACTTTCCCTGCCCTCAGCAGTGCTCCTACACTTTCCTGAGTGCAAGATGATGCTGTGACTGCAGATATCACCCAATGATATGAAATGTTCTTGGGCCACAATGTTGAGACCAAAACCCCTCTCTGTATTTTGGCTCACCTATGAAAGCAAAAAAAAACTTGATTGCTCTGCTGCCAAATAGCTCTAGAAAATTCATGCTTGTTCTTGTTACATAATTGCCCTTTTCATCTGTACCCATTTTTAACAGGTCTTGGCCAAATCCGCTGCTTGAGTTCTCATTGAAGTTTTGCTCTCGCACAGCTCCAAATTGCCCTAAACAGCATTTGAAAATGCAGGGTCAAAGTGTCTGTCATTCCTTTTAATCTTGGTCAGCCATGCACTCTTCTCCTGTAGGGCTACCCTTGCTTTGTTTCATCCTTGATTATGGGCCTGGATTAAGAGTAGCTGATTCTCTATTGTTTTTTTTCCTTTTTTTTTTGAAGTTACTAGCACTTGCCAAAGAGTTAGTTTGAGGAGACAGTGGATAGTTGACTTGCCAGGCTAATTCTTGTGCAATGACCTCCTATTTAAGAGGTATCTGATGTCCTAGCCAGAGAAGTTGGCTAAACCCATTCAGAACAAGATATTGGAGCCTTAACTCTTAATCCCAAGATCTTGTAACAAGAGAACTTCTACATAGACATTAGAATTGATCTTTCTCAGTAGCTGTAACACTGTGCTCTTCATTCTGTTGTAGTACCCTGATGTACTTGTGTAAGCTATGATTTGAATGGGTAGCATGCAAAGCATTAGTTTTCACTTGCTGTCACATGTGCCCTGATACAATCAAATCAAGATAACAGATTTCTGTTGGGGCCAAGGGTGAAGCAGTGGTTTTCCACTCAACCAGCGGAAGGATTGTGTGGAGAGCCAATGGCTGAGTGAAAACAGGGCAACTAAGAATAGTCTGAATATTCCTTTCTACCCATCACACTAATCTGATTGCAGTGAGATGTGTGAAGGTCTGCACTTGGAACTGAGCTGGTTTTGTTTAGTCTGAAAGCTGCACATCCAAACTTGTTTTTTGAGTTGATATTAACCTACCTTCAACTTATTTAGGCTCATCGAAACTTAGAAAATATTGAACCAGTCAAGCCAATAGCAAAGGTGACTGCAGCCGCCCGAAGGCCAGCTTTAGGAGACTTGGCGAATCGTGTTATGACACGAGCAGAGCAGGTAAAGCTCTTTCAAGACTGAAGATCATCTCTCTCTCTCTCTCTCTCTCTATCTCTCTCTCAATTTGTTGAGACACTAAATATCTTTGCTGTCTATTTGCAGAAAAAACAAATGACAAATGTGGTTTCTAAACCAGTGGTGCCCAAGCCAAAAGGAAAAGCTTTGCCAAAACAAGTCCCAAAACCTGTAGCTCAGGCAGTGAAGCCAGCCGCTCGTGGATTAAAGCAAGCAGTTCAGAATACAAAGCCAATGCCTGAAGACCCCATTCCACAAGTATGCATTACAACTTCATCCCTGTGCTTATTTATTTATTTTTGTTTGGAGGGGGGGAAAAAAGCAAACTTCCTCTTCATGCCTTTTGTTTTTATTTTTGTTAAAAGGCCCCCATGTCTCCAACTCCTATGGATGTCTCAATGACAGAAGATGCCTCAATGAAAGAAGAAGACCTTTGTCAAGCTTTTTCTGGTGCCATATTGAAGGTGGAAGACATTGATGCACAAGATGGTGATAATCCTCAGATGTGTAGCCAGTATATAAAAGACATCTACAAATACCTGCGGCAGCTAGAGGTGACTAGACTCTGATCTGGCTATGCTACTGAAGCTAGTTTTAAATATTTCTAAATAATCACCTGCTCTTGGTTTAACTTTCTCATTTTGAGGTTTCTTTTGATCTAAAAGAATATTGGTCCTAAATCTGAGTTTGTTCTGAAGGACCTTCCAGTGCTTGTGATCCTCTAGGAGCTGTTCTCTTGGAAAAACTAAAATATTGCAGATGTTGACTCACTGAAATGAGTGCTGGAGAAACTTGGCAGCATCCGTGGAGAGGAGCAATTTTTAATGTAAAGTACAAGGAGTCCTTTTGTGGACCTCCAAGTGACATAGATTGTGTGCTACCAACTAGTCCTGTTCTCCAGCCCTATCTCTGCCATCTAAATTCTTCACTTTCTGAAATGTATCCATTCTTTGTGTAGCATTCATCTTCATGCTCTTTCTTGCAGCACACCGCAAATCCTAATGACTTGACATAAAGAAATTTTTCTCCCCATCTCGCTCCTAGTTCTCTTGAACATTGATCTTGAAATTGCGATGCACCTTTTCTCCCACCCACCCAAATTACTCCAACAACTAGTTGGAAACAGAATATCCCTCACTGCCCTGTCAAAAATTGTTCATAATTTTGAACACATCACCTCTGCTCCTGTACTCCCCTCAAAGTTGTACCCTTTGAGCCTGTGGGTCTCCGTGTTTCTTCTAGCAAAATGAATTACCTCATTACTTTTCAGCATTGAAGTTCATCTCCCAGGTGTTTGCCCATTTAGCAGATAGTTCAATGTCCCACTGTTGTCATCCTTGGCATTCGCAATTCTCCCAAGCTTGGTATCATCTGCAAGTTTAAATTTTGCCCACCTCTCCCATTTCCAAGTTGTTTATACACATCAGGAAAAACACCAATCCTTAGGAAATGGCCATCTATATCTACCCCCATCTCTGTACCCAGCCTCTAATCCATGTTGGAAGGATCCATCACCACCCCCATAGACTTCAAATTTCCTAGCCAAACTTCCATGTGGCACCATATTAAATTGCTTTCTAAGTCCACATATGCAACATCCACTGCGTTGTCTTAACTAATAAGTGCAGAGGTTCCTTTGGATTCCTAAATCCACTGGACAGACTCTTAACTAACTGATCCATTTCCTATGCTTTTGTCTCTTCACAATTGTCACAACTTGTCAATTTTGTCACGGTTGGAGGCATTCCAGCTTTTGGATGGGAATTCGGGTCTTGTTCAGGCAGCAATTTTAAGTTTGCTTGTGGAAAGGTCAACCTTGAATAACTGATTCAGCATGCAGCCACTGCAGTTTATTTAGAACAGCATTCATGCAGAACACCTGAGTAAGGGTCAATTCTATTATTCAATGCTGCTTGATTCATGACCATAATGATCGATATATTTTCAGCATAACTTAAAACATTGCCTCTCATCTCTGGTAAAGGAAGGTGTAGTTTGTTGCACATACTGCATCAAGTGTTTAGAATCCAGCTAAAATATGCCACCTTCACTCCAAGCATTTTGGTGGCCAATGATGTTCTTTTTTTTTGTTTTTGCTTTCCAACAGATGGAGCAAGCAATCAGACCTCATTACCTTGAAGGGCAAGAAATAAATGAACGTATGCGTGCAATTCTAGTTGACTGGCTAATTCAAGTTCACTCAAAATTCCGCCTGCTGCAAGAAACTCTCTACATGACATTAGCTATCATGGATCGTTTCCTGCAGGCAAGTTTGGTGTTTATTTTTGTGACAATGGCAAAAGTCTCAGTATCTGTAACCTTAAACTGTTGAAAATTTTCTAAATTTGTGGGGCTTGTTGTATTTTCCCTTTAAACGTAAGCTCCTGCTCAACTAGGAAAATGGTGTCAGCTGCAAATCACTTCATAATGTCCTGGGTAATGACAGGACATCCTGGCGTCACGGTCTGTGTTTCTAGCAGCTGAGGGTGCTAGTGCCTCAGTGTAGTTTCCTGCATTGGTGTGGCAACGGGAGGGAAGAAACAGTAGCGATTTGTTAGTCAGGGAACAGGCAGGTGTCTCTGGCAGTCAGTGACTCCAGGATGGTATTTTCTCCATGGTGTTAGCAGCTTCTCAATCCTCCCCCTGGAGAAGGTGAACTGCTAGACATTCTGGTCCACATCCCTACCAAGACTTGGGTAGGAAGGGGAATGTGGCCCCTGCAATTGGAATGTTGGGAGCTAGGTAGCAAAAGGACCTCCATTGCAGTAATCTCTAAACTATTACAGTTCCATAGAGGACTATTGAATGCATGCCTGGAAAGGTGTGCCAGAAGGAGGGCTTTAAATCTCAGACCTGGTCTGGAGGAAATGGTAACTGGACAACAGGCTAATTTCAAAAGCAATGGTTCAAGTAGCATCAGGTGTATTGCCTGATGAGGAAGGTATGACCAGTCAATCCAGCGCTTGCTGGATGATGAGACAGATGAAGATTGTTGCTTATGACACGAATTTTCCGCCCAAAATCTCCTGAATGGGAGAATTAAAAGCAAAAAGAACCTGAGTCCCAATTGAATTGTTCACCTTGGGTGAATGAGGGGGACCAGGCAGGTGGTTGTTTTTCCACCAAATGGAGGTAGTAGGCATGGCTGATGTACTAAACGAATACTTTATCTGCATTCGAAAAGAAAATGCTACCCAGGCTGTGACTGAGAAGGGCTCAGTGAGGTTTTAAATGGTGTGTGGTACTTTAAAATTGCCAAGGTACTAGGATCAGATAAGATGCATTCAAGACCTTTGAAGTAAGGGATTGCAGAAGCACTAGCCATAATCTCTTGGCACCCCACAAGCCTGGACAAAAGGTGGGGAAAATTGTAAGTTTTTTTTAAACAGCTTTCTTTTTAAAGACTTGTAAAAGGATAAGCCCAGCAATCTCAAACCAGTGGGGAAACTTTCTGATTTATTTAGCATCAATTTTTTTTCCTTCTGGAAAGAAGGGAGTCGATTAGGAGATTAGCATAGATTTCTAAAAGGAACATGTTTTGAGCAATTTGCTGGAGTTTGAGGTGAAGAGTTAACATTAATGATATGGATGTAGTGTACATGGCCTTTGATACTGATCTGAGGCAGGTTACAGATGAGCCAATAAAAGGGACTGAAGCAACATCAGTACAAAACTGGCTGAGTAATAGGAAGCTGGTCAGTGGATACTTTTTTAAAACCAGAGGAAGTTTTGTAGTAGACATTACCAGGAGTTTTTGTATTGGGAGCCTTGCTTTTTTTTTCTAATTTTAATGTAGATGTGCAGGGCACAATTTAAAAGCTTTCACATGAGACAACTTGGAGAATTGCAAACTAAGGATGTAGGACTTCAGAAAGTATGTTTGGGGGTAGATGAGCATGAAGTGATCCATTTTGATATTATTGCTGTGTGTTCTGCTGGCCAAAGGTCAGCAGAAGGACCTAGCTATAGATGTACATGCATCACCTGAAGGTTGCAAGGCATATAGAGAGCAATTAATAAAGCAGCATCCTGGGCCTTAATTTGGGGAGGTGGTTAAATTAGGAGCAGGGAGGTGCTGCTGAACCTGTAGAAGACACTTGTTAGACCTCAGCTGGAGTGTTGTGTACAGTTCTGGCACTCCTGCATAGGAAGGATGCATATGCACTAGAAAGAGTGCATAAGTGAATTTTTCTCTAACCTGTTCTTGAGGATTGATTGAAGGAATTGGGACTGTTCTCCCTGGAGGGGAAGCTGGAGAGATCTGAGGCTCCAAATCCTGGGGCAGGCCACAGAGTAGATGGGAGGAACTGTTCCCACTTTGCAGGATCAAGGAAGAGCATTTTTTAAAAAGTGCTTTGTAAAAGAAGCAAATCCAAAATGAGGAGTTGGGGTCTAAATGCTATGACTGGAACTAGTGGAGGCAAGCTCACATGAGGCATTGAAGGCATTAGATAATCTCTAGCCAGATGTGTAAAGGCATAGGGGAGGGAAGTGAATGGCAGTTGGTAATGTACTCTGTGCACAAACTCTTCACAACCCTTTTTTTTTTTTTAAAAAAAAAAAAGTGGGCCAGATGGGCTGCCTTCATGTTGTGAAGGTAGATTGCACTTAATGTTGAGCTTTAATGCAAATTGTTTTATTCCATTGTTTGCCAACTTTACCAAACAAAATTGCAACTGTTCCTCCTTTTCAGAGCCAGCCAGTTTCCCGCAAAAAGCTCCAGTTGGTTGCTGTGACTGCCATGCTGCTGGCTTCTAAATATGAAGAAATGTATCCACCAGCTATAGGAGACTTTGTTTACATCACAGACAATGCTTATACCAAGAGTCAGATCCGTCAAATGGAAGTACTTATTCTTAAAGAACTTGATTTTAAATTGGGCCGCCCACTTCCACTGCATTTCCTGAGGCGAGCATCAAAGACTGATGTAAGTATGGCATTTTCCTAAACTTGTAGGAAGGCCATTTTCTGGGCATTTAAAGCTTGAGAACTGCAGATGCTATAAATCAGGAACAAAAACAAAGTTGCTGGAAAAGTTCAGCAGGTCTGGCAGCATCTGTGCAGGAAAAAAGGAACAGTCACTAGACCCAAAACATTAACTCTGCTTTCTCATTTAAAGCTTGAGGTTTATGTTGACTAACCTCTTTTAAACTTTACCTCAAATTCTAAACACCATTTAGTGTACTAATTAATGTGAATTTTTTTCTTGACAGGTTGATGCTGAGAAATACACTCTTGCAAAATATCTCATGGAACTAACAGTCATAGACTATAACATGGTGCATATTCCCCCTTCTGAAATTGCAGCAGCTGCACTTTGCCTGTCTTTCAGAGTCTTGGACCAAAGTAAATGGGTAGGTAAAACTACTTGTTTTAGGTCCTATTTCTCTTTTGCAGAGGATGCTGATTTTTTTTTTAATAGCTCAATTGGACTGCACCAAAACCACTTTTTAGCAACTACCTACATTTGTACATGGTCATGGCAGTATGATTGACTTGATTTCTGTTTAAATATATTTTTTATTTAGCTTTGTCAAGCAAATGCCTGATCTTTGTCTTCTGTACGGCTGCTATTTTCCTTGCATCCCCTCTTGCCTGAAGGCACAGTCCCAAGCTTGTACTAGCAACACATTGCATTCAAACAAGAAAATCTAAATGACTTTTTTTAAAAATCTCCCCCACCTCCTTTTAGACAGCAGTTCAAAAATACTACACTGGCTACACAGAAGATGCCTTGCATTTGACTATGAAGCACATGGCAAAGAATGTAGTGAAAATGAATGAAGGCCTAACAAAGCACGTAGTAAGTAAACATCTAGTGCAAGATTTTGTTTTTGAGCATCTTTAGCATCAGCTTAATGACTTTTTGTTCTTTCTTAGGCTATAAAGAACAAATATGCAAGTCCTAAACTGCTGAAAATAAGTACCATTCCTCAACTGAAGTCTGCATTAATCAAAGGATTGGCCTCTTCCTTGCTATAACCACCCAAAGAGTAATATGGACACAATTGCACTTTGGTTTTATTTTTAAGTAGAAGAATTGCTGCTGTTGTGCTTGGTCTGGCCTCTGGACAGCTTGTATGTCAATTAACTGTGGCCTTGTGCCAAAGGGCATATACCCATATTCAAAACCTTTAACTTTTTAAACCAACAGACTGGGATAGAATAACTGAGTTTCACTTCAGCATGCTTCTGATCTTCACATCTGCTGTGTTTGGAGGGACTGAAGTCCTGGCTGTCCTCCTGAAGCTGACCCAAAGTTGTTGTGTTTTTTTTTTTTGGTACTTCCCATGGAGGCCAGTTGTAAACCTTTCTATCTTTTTAGATTTTTCCATATTTATATTTTAAGTGTTTATTTTTCTTGCCATCTGATCTTAAAACTATACCACTTGTTGCAATGCAAATGGATTCTATAGGTTTTTCCCCACAAAATTCACTGATCTCATTCTCATGGGGCTGACTGTCTTGTCTTCAAGACTTGCTTTTTGTACTTTTCTGTTCTTCAGAATAAGTCTAAGGAACATTGTAAAAGTGAGCATCTTATTTTTAAAGTCCAGGAGTTAATAAAGCTAGGGATCTAATCCCAATTTTGCTGCTGGGGTGGATAAATTAAGGAATGTGTTTTTATTTCACTTGTGTCCACAGACCTGGTTTTAGAGATCAAGTAACTTCAGTCATGTGTGCTTCAACATATTGAATTGTTCCTGCCCTCCCAAATTAACTAGCATCAAACAGTAACAGGACAAAGGGAAGATATTTGGTCAAGGCTCCTGCAGAGTTAAGGTTTTCACTAAATATACAATGCAAGTAAAACAGACTACTTTTTGAATGCAAGAGATTTTGATGTAAGGCAAGAATTTCGGTGTAACAATGGAAATGTAACAGACCCTCCTGTGTGTGTATATAAAGATCCAACTTTAAATTCTAAACTGCACATATTATAATCCCTGACAAACTTTTTAATGTCAACTTGATAAACTAACTGTAATATACCCCAAGAAACCCAATGCAGGAATGTACTGTAGAGTAGTTGAGGGGTGAGGGTGGGGACATGCTAGCACAGTCAAGGCCAAGTAAATCTTTGTGTACAGCACCCTTTAACTGTTTAAATTTAGTTTTTTTAACTTGGTCTGGATTGTAAATGTTTTAATGATTCATAAAGATAATGATGATAAAACCAGTTCATTAAACCCCTGGTAACCAACTTTAATTTTGTTAATGTTGTAATCCTAACAATTACTGCCTAATGTTTTTCTTTCTACAGGATGATATTCCATCCAAGTTGAATACTTGACTGTAATGTGATATTGCTTGATGTGGTTTGAGATCTTGTTCCATTGTAATGCAATGGGCATAATTATTCTGTTAGTTGAAATTTCAACTAAGTTTGCTTGACAAACTTGATACAAAATGTAAATAAAATTACTATAGTTACCACTTGCAAATACTCTTGCATTTGACTTCCCAGTTGGTGTAAGTAGTGAGTTGCACAATCCTTTTAAAAGAAGCTGTTGTCTATTCCATAAGTAGAATTCCAAGGTGTGAACATGAAGCACACGTAAAGCAGTTACAGCAGTAAAAGGCCATTCACTGTTAAACTTAAAATACACGTTTGTACACTGTTTTGCTAAATGTGTTCTGATGGTCTTTTTTTAAGAGAACATGCTCTTTGCAATTTAAAGCAAGCAAGGGTCCTCCTTAGAGCAGAGGAGACTGAGGGGTGATACATATTATAATGTAAGATCAATTAAAATTTGAGGGGTCATAGTGTAGACAGGAAGGAACTGCCCCTTTTGGAAGGTCAATGACTGAGGTTTTTCACCCAGTGATGGGAATCTTCTACTTGCCCTCTCCCAACAGTGGTAGAGATAGAAATATTTAAAATTTGTGCTTGTGATGCTGAGCTGTAAAAGGCTTTTTGAGTGACTGGGTTATGTGTACTGTAGAGCTGACTCAAGCTAAAGTAATAGTGGTGTCAGAGTGATCAACCAGAAGTCAGCTGTTTTCCCACATAGATTCTCCAATGGGTAGTTTTTGTAGGAACAGATCTTCATTCTTCAGGCTTATTTGAAGAGGAATGGACCAACTAGCCAGTTGCATCTCCATTTGGAGGTAGAACACTTAAGTTTATTTTTACAAGTAATGGTGAGGACTTGTGACCTCTTTTGACCACTTCCTTTTAGAAGGATGAAGTTCTAAACTTTACATTCTCCATTTTTGACATGAAGTGTGGACAACTTTCAGTAAGTCTACACATCTCTACATGAATTGCTGTTAAAGATATTGGGTGCAGGAGAAGTTCTTGGATGGGGGATAAAAAAAACCTTGAATGGCTGAAGGAATACAAATGAATGAATTAGTTTTTATTGGGGATGGGATGTGGGGTATGAGTGACTGAGTCATATCTTAGACTAGTTTGTCTAATTATGAAGTTTTGTTCAACTATAAAACTGAGAATTGTTGTATAAGCAGAGCTTCTACTTGACCAGAAACTGAACTGTGGCAACTACGCAGTAAGGGGTAGCATAACTCCTGCTTCTACACAGCCTGTCCAGTATCTGCAAGCTACAAACCAACAATGTGATGGAATGTGCCTTGTGTTGCTGGAGCTGCACATATCAAGAAGCTTAACTCTGTCCAGGACAATGCAGCCCACTTCACTGGTACCACCTTTTTGCCAGTGTCTCTAAATTCACTCCCTTCACTGTAAACAGTATTGCAACATGCTTCTTTAAGGGCAGAAGTGAAGCACTCAGGCACTGAATTTATAATCAATGATATCAAACAATCTCTCCAAATGGTGTGAATGCAGTGTTGACAAGCCTACTAGGTCACTGCAGATGATCGAGTAGTGTCAGCAGCTGAATATAGGTTGTCCCTTCACCTGCTAATTAGATTAATTGAGGCAGACAGATCTTTAAAAAATTTTAAAAATAAGGTGCTGGAGACAAGCCAAATGACATGGTAGGTATGAGTCACTTGCTGAGGGTCTAACCAAATAACACTCCAAAACTACATGAGGAACATTTTAAGGACTATGGGTTTTACTCATTGGAGTTTAAAAGGATGAAAGGGGTCTAACTGAAACTTGGAATACTGAATGGCCTGGATAGAGTGGAAGTTGGGAAGATCTCTCCATTGGTAGGAGAGACTAAGGACCTGAGGGCACGCTCTTAGAATGAAGAGAAGACCTTTTTAGAACAGATGAGGAGAAACTTCTTCAGTCAGAGTGTGGTGAATCTATGGAATTCACTGCCTGTGGAGGCCAGGTCATTGAGTATGTTTAAGACTGAGATATAGGTTCTTGATGATCAAAGGTTATAGGGAGAAAGCAGGAGAATGGTGTTGAGGAACTTATCAGCCATGATTGAATGGCAGAGCAGAAATTGGGCCATTTGTATTATAGCCTTACTAACTAAGGTAGAGGGATTGTAAATTATCAAGGTGACAGTGTCAAAACAGGACAGTAAAGAAGGTTTTACAGATACAGAGCAGTGTGGTGGGGTCACATGTAGCACGACAGAACATGAACCCAAGATCACAGTTAAGGCCATCTTCGTGCGTAAGGAACTTGGCTATCAATTTCCGTTGTTGTTGTTACTGTTGCTGTTACGTATCTCCAAAGGCTGCCTTGGAGAGATACTTACCCAAAGATTGGAGGCTGAATGTCCTCTCTCCATTGGAGGGCTTACGGGAATGTTCCCTCCTAGTCAAGGAACATTCCTATGTGGCAATCATTGCACTGGTGTCTGTTCATCTGTTGTCATAGCATCTGCATTGTCTTGCCAATATTACCATGCCTCAGGGCATCCTTGCCTGCAGCGTATAAGGTAGATAATAATGGCCAAGTCACATGAGTATCTGATGGGTGGTGTTCCCATCTGTTAGTATCCATGTTGATCAGCATATCTTGCAGAGGTTGCTGTGGTAGTGTTGGTAGTGTTGTCAATGTCGTCTTGAAGGCTGGGTAGTTTGCTGCAAACGATGGTCTAAGGTTTGGTGGTTGTTTTGAAGATGAGAAGTGGAGGGGTAGGAATGATCTTGGTGATACGTTCATTGTCATTGCTGACATGTTTGGCTGCGAAGAACATGTAGTCTCTAATCTGAGGAACTGATGGACAACAGTACTGTCATCTGGCATGACTGTCACAATGTCTTCTGACAAGTTCATTTCATTTTGGTTTTTCACTGTGGTATGTTGGAACTAGCGATTCTTTTTTTTTTTTTTTTTTTTTGAGTTAGCATCCTATCTTTTTGAGGGTGTCTTTCAGGGTCTTCAGGTGTCTGTCTCATTCCTCCTCATTTTGAACAGATCCTGTGTACGTGCAGGCTGTCTCCTTTGGGAATGGCTTCTTTAACATGTTGAGGGTGGAAGATATAGAAGTGCAGCTTGAGGTTATCAGTAGGCTTGAGGGTAGAGTGAGTGTTGAGGTGTCTGTCCTTGATGGAGATGCGTATGTCCAGGAATGAGACTGATTTCTGAAGAGTAGTCCATGGTAAGTTTGGTGGAATGAAACTTGTTGATATCACTATGTAGTTGTTTCAGTGATTCCTCACCATGAGTCCAAAGGAAGAAAATGTCAATTGTAGATGGTGTATTGTGTGGGTTGGAGGTCCTGGGCAGCAAAAGAAATCTTGCTCAAACCTGTGCGTGAAAACATTGGGGTGCAAATCTGATCCCCATGGCTGTTCCAATCTTCTAGATGAAGAACTGGTTGTCAAATGTAAAGCTACTGTTTTCCAGGTTGAAGTGGATGTGTTGTAGGATGGTGTCTGGAAATTGACAGTTGTTGGTATTGAGTACTGAGGCTGTTGCAGCGATGCCATTGTCATGGGGGAGTGTTTGAAACATCCATTGTGTGACAAGGAGTGTTCCTGGTTCGCCTGCTCTGTGCGAGCTGAGTTTCTGTAAGAAGTCTGTGCAACAGAAGCTGGGGGTTCCTTGTACAATGGAGAAAAAAAAAATTATGCCATGTTCATTGCAGCCTTCAACATGTCATTGACGATGAACACTGGCCAAGATCATCCCTTCTCTCCTTCAAACAACTGCAAAACCTTTTAAAAACAATTGTTTTGTAGCAAACTACCCAGCCTTCAGGACAACATTGACCATAACCCTGGCACGTCAACCTTTGCGAGGCATGTTACATCATTGACATGGATACTACCATCACACATGGGAACACCACCCACCTAGCACATGGCAGACACTCAGCCAATGTAGTCTACATCATATGCTGCAGGCAAGGATGCCCTGAGGCATTGTATGTGGGCGAGTCTATTCAGATGCTATGACAATGGATGAATAGACACATAGCACAACAATCGCCTGACTGGGAGGGAACATTCAGTGGTCAAGGACATTCAGCCTCTAATCTTCAGATAAGCATCCTCTAAGGCAGCCTTGGAGATACGCAGCACAGAACTGCTGAGCAGAAACTGATAGCCAAGTTCCGTACGTACGAACATGGCCTCAACTGTAATCTTGGGCTCATGTTGTGCTACATGTGACCCCACCACACTTCTGTATCTGTTAAAATCTTCCTGTTTCAATACCATCACCTTGACAACTTGTTGTGATCTCTCTACCTTAATTAGTTTGTACAGTTTTGGATTACTTGTTACTTTGGTTAGACCCATGGCATATGACTCTTGCATTTAATATGTTATTCCAGTCATTTGGTTTGTCTCTAGCAACATTTTATTTTTAATATTTTGTAATTATCTCTCTGCCTCAATTAATTAGATTATAGGTCATCCCTTCTCCTGCTAGTCAGCTGTTGACACTACTCACACTGTCTGATACTCTTGATCACCTGCAGAGACTATTATTTGTACTGTTGACACTCCACTTGCACCATTTGTAAGATCTCTTGATTTCTGATTTATAATTTCAGTGCCTGAGTGTTTCACTTCACCTGCTGAAGGGGCGGTGCCCCAAAAGCTTGTGATTTCAAATAAACCTCTTGGACTATAACCTGGTGTCATGTGACTTCTCTGACCTTGTTCACCCCAGTCCAACACCAGCACTTCAACGTCAATACTCTCCTTAACCATTATCACCTAACCACCTTCCCTCCCCTGCTTTTGTTCCTTTCCTATTTTTTTTTCTGTACACTTTTTAATGAGGAATATTTGAGTCAGTCTGGCACTGCCTTGACTTGGATCTGTTATCATCACATCACCATAAATGCACAGGATAATCTGTACCTGTAACTCCATTTTACTTACTTTATTCTGTGTATTCATTATACATGTAGTATAACTCTGATTTAAAATTTGATTGTTTTAAAATTCTTCCTTATTTTGACTCCACTTACTAACTTGCTCTTCTCTATTCTAGTGCTATCTTTCTCACCCAGTATTTTGTGCACCCAGTGCAATGCACCCTAATAGAGGCTTCTGGTTCCTACATAATTAATTCAGCTGTTCCCCAACAGCACTAGTAAAATGCTACAGAATGGACTGGTTCTGTCCAGATACACCTGATCTAGCTTTGACAGGTGCTATCATCCCCCTCAATGTCAGTCCGAGTGCCCCAGGAATCTGAAGCCCTTTCTTCTAGGCCATCCTTCCAGCCATATAGTTATTTAACTTAGCCCACTATTTCTGGAGTCACTGGCATGTGGATTTTTTAAAGTTTTACGTTAGGATGTGGGTGTTGCTGGCCAGATTATTGTCTACCCCTAAATGTACTTGCTAGGGCCATTTCAGAAGGCAGCTTAGAGCCAACCACCTTGCTGCAGGTCTGGAGGCAGATGTAGACCAGTCAAGGATGACAGATTTCCTTCCCTAAAAGGGATTAATGAAATAAAACTGCCAGAAAGGCCAGCTTTCCAGATTTAATTCCAGAATTGAATTGAATTAAATTCCTCCACCTTTCGTGTAGGATTCAAACCCATGTCCCCAGAGCATTGATCTGGAGAACTAGATTACTAGTACAATGACATTACTTGGAGAGGAGTGAGTGGATAGGAATTATCTGGCGATTACCACTTCTGTGCTCCTGTTTGCTGTTTTCTATCCAGCTCTCTAAATTTGAACTGTAGATTACATTCCCACTTCCTACCTCCATTGTTGGTACCAATGTGAACCACAGTCTCTGGCTGATCACCCTCTCCCAGAAGAATGTCCTGCAGCTGCTCTGTGATATCCTTTACTCTGGCACCAGCAAGGCAACTGACCATTGTGAAGTCACAAATATAACTGTAGAAATGCCTGTCTGCTCCTTTAACTAAGGCAATCCCTATCATTACTGCTTTTCCATTCTCTCCTCTTTGCTCTCTTATACAGCTGGCCCACCTGTGACGCTATGACATTTTGCTTCTGTCATGAGCCAAAAGCAAAGACTGCAAAAATTGAGTGTTTACCTTCCCCAAAGTGAATTTATAATTTGCATTACTCATACACCAGATGGGAGAAAGGGTGAAGAAACAGGTTTCACAGCTTGAGTTTATTTTAGATCTGTTTAAATCATTACTGTGTTTGAGCCACTCTCCATTATAGATTGAAAAATGAAGCACAATTGTTCCAGATACTGTAGTTTTGAATAAATTTATTATTGTCAATCCAGTAATCCTAGTACATTTTAAATCTCATCCATATATAAATTTATAAAATTTACCACACTGGCCAAACAGAAAATGCAGCAGTATTTGACAGAGCTTCTATATTTTAGTTGTATAGCCTAAAGAAAGGTTTCCCAAAGTGGTGGTGGTGGTGGTTTGTATGGTGGAAGGGGGTCCAGACCTCAAGTAGGATTGTGAGCTAAAAGTTTGGGATCACGTGCTTCAAACACTATTGACAGCCATGGAGCTCTGACTGAGCTAAAACAGTAGTCGAACAGACAGGCCCCTGCTCTCTGTAGCCACCCACCCACTCCACCTTACAGCCTCCCTCATAGGTCTTGCTGCGAAGTCATGGCAATTTTTCAGCCTCAAAATGGAGTCACAGTGGAAAAACATTTGGTAAGCACTGGCCTAAAGCAATTTTTAGACATTAGCCTGTAGGGATAATCAGAGTTTCATAACATACAGTAAAGGAAAAAGACTAAAACATTTTCTCTTATTACCTCAACTTTACATCAGATATAGCACTTGTATGGACCAGCCACATTATGTATTTAATTAAAAGGCACTTTAAAATGCAAATGTTACATTTGTACAGTACTGAGAAGATCGCTTTCTCCTTGAACCTTCACACTGATCGCGAATGAAGTTTACGATCCCATAGCAATTGGTAGAAAGCTGAAACTATTTTCTTTGGGTGTCACATGCAAATATTCTTCATGACCCCAGCAAAGTTCAGTATTTTTCCCCATTTGGAATGCACTCCAAAAAAGAGAAGTTTCACCTTTCATCACTATTATTCCTGAAGAAACAGCAGATCACTAAGAAATACATGAGGGTCTGCTAAGCATTAATTGACTAAGGGCACTTCCAGGCAAGAATATAAAACACAGATAACCTATCATCGAAGTTAAATGCAACATTCTCTCTAAACTACCAGTTATACATCTTTATTTGTGAGGAAACAAAAGTATAAATACAATAAATTACAGTTCCTTCAGTACTATCCTAGCTGTTGTGTAGCTCCAGACTACCGATATTTTTGAATTATACACTACATTTCTATACAGTATGCCCTCCAGTCAGCAAAACATCACCTGCAGAATCATGATACTTCGATTTGGTTTTACAATAGATTTTGATAGTAACAGAGGATTATATCTTGGCAACATAGTTGTTGGGGAACAATCCCTGTTTCCCTCGCAGTCTCCCTATCCACCAGCCTGAGGGATCTATAAACGGAAAGAGGGAATTTAGACAGATCATCAGGCAGTTTAACAAAACATCCCCTGGCAGATTGAGGAGTCAATTCAAAAGGGTGCAAACATTAATTAAATTAAAATGTACACAATTAATGAAATTAAGGTCTACTAAATGGGGATTGTATATATTAGAGAAGTTCATGGGAAGACCCAGCTGAGTGCAACAAAGAATTATTCAACCTTTTGTTGAGTGTGAGAGGTTCTATTCCAATTTAGTGTCAAACTCAACCACAACCATTATCAACGAGATCTGAATTGGAGAATCTTAAATCAGGCAATGCTCTTTGTAATGTAAATGGTGCCATAACTGCACTCAGCAAAAGACAGATTACTGCCAAGTACAACTAAGCTAGAATCAACACCTCAATAACTAACCGTTTTCAGAATTTTTTTTTCACTTTACAGCCAATATAGTCACTTTGTGAACAAGAGAAGCTAATTTGTACAATTCAAGGTCTCTCAAACAGCAGTGAGTTGAACAAGCAAATTAACCTTTTCTTTTTATTTGGTAGTTCAGGGATAAATGTTGGCTGGAACACCGTTCTTCCCTGAAAAGTGCCAAAGCTGATTTACATTTGTCTGAGAAGACAGACGGAGGTTCAGTTTAATGCCTCATTTGAAAGGCAGTGCCTCAGACAGTGCAGAACTCCCCAGACACTGCTATAATGATTATGTCCTGGAGTGTGACTCATACCTACAACCCTCAGGTCAAAGATGCAAGAGTTACATTGAAGGGACATTGAAAATGAGGAACAGGAACAAGTTATACACCTCAACAAATGAGTTTTCACCCCTTGAAAGACAAATGATTTGATCTACGGAACTTGGTTAATGTTGGATCAAACGTTAAACTGTTTTCTCATCCACCCTCTTGAGTGGGCATAAATTATTCTGTAGCAGAATTCAAAGAGCAGGGAAGCTCTCCTGACGGATGGTAAAGTTTACACAGTCCAGTCTGGCAGTTAATCAAGTACTGTGTGAAATATATCCTATACAAAAACAACTGGGATTTTAACTTTTTACACTTATGGGATCACAGACTAGATGCAGGGGAGAGGTTTCTCCTGGCTGAGGAATCTAGAACAAGGAGTCAAAGCCTCAGGATATGGGTAGGACATTTAGGACTGAGTTAAAGAAAGATCTGTTCACTCAAAGGCTGGTGAACCTGTGAAATTGTCTACCTCAGAAGGCTGTGAAGGCTAAGTCACTCAATATATTCAAGAAAGACATAGATTTTTTTACATTTTAAAGGCATCAAGAAGTATGGGGAAGTAGCAGGAATATGGCATTGAAATAGAGGTTCAGTTATGATCGTATTGAATGGCAAAGCAGACTCAAAAGCCCAAGTGGCCTACTCTTTCAAGTTTCTATGTTTCTATGAATGTGTTTCCAGCTACACCATCCTAATATGTTCTGTAATCTCCTTCATAAAATGTGTTTTTCTTAAACTGAGATATCCAAAGTGAAGGGCCAACAAATGCAAGGCAGCAGTAAGATTGAAAAAAACAGGAGAAAAAGGAGATAATTCAGAAAGTTCATGCCTGGTTGAAGTTAAGCTTGGGTTTTTAAAAACCTGGATAGAATACTAACAAGTTCTACAGTGTTGAGGCTCACTACTATAAGAAATTGGAGTGGCAGGCAGTGCAATAAGTTTTTATTGCAGCGGAGGAATTATGCAGCTACAGAGGCCTGGATTTTACAGTTAGTGTTGAATGCGCAATGTTTGTCTGAAAGCTGCTCGCAAAGTTTTAATGGGATTTTGAGCATCCTTTTTTCTCTGGCCTGATTCCTGTTCCAGTGTAGCATCCTCTACAGAGAAACTGTGAGCAGGTCAAGAAAGAGGGGAGCTCTACAACCAATAAGACTGAAGAATCCTCACTGAGAAACACAACCAAAATCAGAAGGAATAAAGGAGGAAATATAAATTTGATTTAAACAGAGTAAAGAACAGAAAGTGAAGACTGGAAAACACAGCTGTGATTGAGAAAGAATGAAATAAAATTACAATTTTAACTTTTTAAAAAATCCCTGAACACTGAATTTCTTTTGCTGGAAGGAGACTCCACACATCCAAAATGCAAGGTTGTGTATCACCGATTGTCAATTAACACCTGGTTAAAAATTAGCTTAGACCTGAATGCACCAGTCCTAATGTTCTCAGTCAGTCTTAGGTGAGATTGGTGGACAAAGGCAGCAAGGTCACACAACTGAACCCATTTCCGGGCTGAGTCCAGAGATGGGGAATGTAAAAGCACACCCTGGTGAGAGATGAGGCATCCAACGCAAACTTTCATTTTTGTCCATTTTATTAAATGTGTGAAAAACACAGGTCACTGCTCATTTACTATGTTGCCTCACCGTTTCTTAAAAACACAAAATCCAGCCTACATCAGTGGGGAACTGCAGACTATCTGCGCAAGTCAATTAACTAGGGAATAGAGTACGTTTTCAACTTTTTGATTATATTTAATTTGACTGAACATGCAAAGAGGAAGAAAGCTTTTGGCTGTATTTAAATTAAGCCACTACTTACCTTCCCTAACTATTTCTATAACATCTTCTGCATTAAAGCTAAGTTCATCTGTGTCCTGAGCATCATACGCATACAGTGCTTTGCACTGTGGTACCTGAGGCTTGGGTTTGGGTTGTGGTTTAGGACGACCTCCCGCTGGGGGTGGACGATTTGTCATCTGTCTGCGTGCACTAAAGTAAAAGAGAGAGTTACAGTAAGTCACTGGTCCACACCTTGAACTTCTGCTGCCAGTTTATTTTGCACATGGGTTTACTTCAACAGTTCAGCACTGAGGAAAGATCAGAGAATGCAAAATTGTCCATCAGGAGTGTCCACACTCTTTCATTTTGAGGAGCATTCAGGTTCTGGCATGGAGCTTTATGGACCTCTTTGAGATTCAAGAGCAACTTGCCTATTTATCCGTAAATATGCTGTTCTGAGGCAAAGCTTTGCCTGAGACCCCCATGATATATAATTTTTAATCAGGATGAATCTGCAAGTAAGACAGCAAATCATAAATAGGGGAGAATTGATTGCCAGGGCTCATGGCTTAGGTATGGATATGGCAGGTAGTTTGGACACCCCTGTGGATCAGCATCAATGCACAATGAGTGGAAAAAATTGTGAAATATTCCAAATATTCTTGTATCTCCTTATTCCAAATATTCTTGTATCTCCTTGATTGATCTCGAGTTTAGTTACTCATCATCTCTCTAGTTGTTGAATCCTCTCTCCTGAAACACACCACGAGTTTATTTATCCTCCTCAGTTCATGCCTTTGCTTCACAAAGTGGCTTCCAACTCTTATGCATCTTCAAACGTATCTTTATTTTAAATGCTCCCCACCACCACCCCCAACAACTTGTATTTCATTACTTCTAACATCCTAATTATTAAATTTTTCCCCTGGTATTTGATTAGATTAAACTTTCTTAATCCCCTTTATAATCTTGAAATTTCATTTTTTAAACAAAGTAAATCAAATTAACTAGTTTGGATACCCCACTGCCCAGATTTTTCCTGCAATTTGCTTGCAGCTTCTATACTTGTGTCACTCTATCTCAAGTTTCAGCAGCTACACCCCAAGTCCTTAATTTGGAGGAAGTCCTCATAATTATCACATGTTTAACAAACCTTTTTTCAGGAAAAAGTTTACTTCCTCTAATAACCCAAAAGAAATACAGGGATTCTTCCTCCTTATCTAAACCCTCAAAGTGCAGGGAAGCCCGAATGGGAAACTGATTTCTTTAGAATCCTGTAACTTAGGAGTGAATTCAACTTGGTGTTGGTGTTGACTTTTTGAAAGAGCTTCCCTTTGCTTTCCTGCATATCGTCCTTTTCAAGAATACATATTCCCCTTTGAAAGTTATTCTTGAATCTGCTTCCACTCTTCTCTCAGGCACTGCAATCCTGATTGTAATAACCTGTTGCAGTAAGAAACTCCCCCAGCCTCATCTTTTACCAACCCTCCTGTAGAGACAGTTTATTGGCTTCTACCCCATCAAAGTTTTAAGAATAGATCTCAGTACTAGGGCTTTCTACTGAGAAATCTGGCACTGTGCAACATGATGCCTATACGCCAAATGCACCCATACTTTTTAATATTTTATGTTTTAGTTTTGAAAAAAAAATTGCAACAGCAACACAGGATAGGACATGGTGCAGCGCATTTTTACGGTCAGACCTGAGCATAGTTCATTCCTTCAACACACACAGTATCTCCATTTTAACAGCTGCAAGGGTATTGATGAGGATTATTTTATACAGGTTTCAGTAAATAATGAAGTCACATTAACAGCAAGAAATATCACTACAGCCACGACTGTCTATAACTAGGTTAGCATGATAGTTTCCTACATCCCGGTTAGAACTAAAACTGGTGATAAGTTATCAGACCTACTACATGCTTCTAAATACTAAATGAAAATAAACCAGCTGTACTAAATCCAGAAACAACACCATGGGAACCACCACCAAAAAGCATCATTTTTGACTCACTTTCCTCCATTTGGTCGTGTCATTCCAGTATGTTTACTATAAAAAGGAAGAAATTTTTACAATGATTTATATGCACCTAATATAAATGCTATAAGTAATACAGCAAAATAGGTGAGGCAAAGTTTTTTTTGGTCACATCATGTTTACTGGTTGGATTAATTTAATGCAGGAGTTTCTACAATGTCATTCATAGGGAGAACAGTTTCATTCATTTTGCTTCTCAATCGCCATCAGATTGTATTGCAGCTCCATGACCTGCCATCAGAGGGCACATGTTTCACATGATTTGGCATACAGAGCTCCCCTGGAACATGTCACCTCAGTGTCCAGCTGAACCCAGGCTGAAGTTTCATGACTGAGGAAAGCTGTTCCCTGTGACTCAATGTTCAACAGTTTGATTACTGTTCAATTGTTAAACTGTCAGCTGCACCACTGGCAAACTTATTTCAGTTTTTAGTTCCCTGATCCCCGATAAGGTAGCTGATCTCAATTATGGCGATATTGGTAAAACTATATCTTAGAATCCACAGAACAGTGTTTGAAGAGATAAATTAGCCTTGACTTCCACTTCTTACACCTGTCTTGTGACTTTTGCTGCAAATTATGTGTAGGTGTCAGGTGAAGTCAGGATTAGGCCTGGTCATGAAGGTCTCAGAGAAACAATTCGCTGATGACTGGGACATTCCTTCTTTAAGAGAAGTTTTAGGATATGTGTGTGTGGAAGGGTACAACAAGAGTTCTTCACTTTTGTACCCTTTCCTACTTCCCTGTTAAACAGGTTCTCAGCACAAATGTACCCATACTTCTCAACAAAGTGAAATAATCCGTGTCTCAAGGTAGAGATTTCCTGGAAAGATGCTCTTCAGTGCCAATAACAAAGCCAGTCACAATTGTTAGATAATCTTCTATGTCTCACAGACGTACAATGTTCCTGCACCTGGGATGTGCACCTCCAAGTTTTTCCTCCTAGTGGAATTCCAGCACACTTCCAAGGAATGGAACTAAAGTTCCTCAACCAATCAAAGGCCATTGACTGTGCTGAGAGATATAACAAGACAAAAGAAACCTAAAGTAGCCAAATGCCTGGAGCTCCTCTTACCCTGCAGCACCCTGCTCGGGCACTTTCAGGAAATCCAGATTATGTTGAATGCGGGCGTGTTGCTCTGCGAAGTTGGCGCCTGGCCTTGGCAGTGATGGTCGGTCTGACTTAGTGCCTTGGTAGGGTATTCTCTGAGTGGGTTGAGAATTTAAAGGTGGCCATTGCGAGGTGTTATGGAAACCTTTTACAACTCCATTCTGATGGGAACCTTCAAACAACAAATCGAGAGGGAATCCATTTTAGTTCTTCTAAGGAAAACGTATATGTGCGGTAGTAGTGGCATTGATTGTAGTTAGTAGTGGGATATAAATTTGTCATTTTGAAACAAATTTGCCAAAGAATAATTCAAATGACATTGACATATATTCAATATAACAATTTTAGCATTTTAGGAGTCTACAGCACAGAAAAAGGCCCTTTGGCCCATTAACTCTACACCGGTCAAAAACAAGCATCTAACTATCCTATTCCCATTTTCCAGTGTTTGGCCCACATCTTTGAATGCCTCAGCATCGCAAGTGCACATCTAAATACTTCTTAAATGTAATGACTTTGTCGCTTAATTCATCTAAGTTATTACCCTCTCTGTATCCCTGCCCTGTTTCCTTCTCCCTGCGTGTATATAGGTGTTGGGAGGCTGGGGAGGGGTGGGGTGGGGAGGTAGAATTAGAGGAACTACTTCACCTACCTCTATGTACTAAATCATAAACACGTGCTTTTTGTGCTGTTATTGCACACAGGGAACAGAGCGATTCCTGCCTCGCAATAATTTCAAGTCAACCTGCGATCAAGCTCAGCCTGTTTTTGACAGTACTGCCTTTACGCTAGCTCAGCTGGCATATCCAACGTTGGAAAGTCCTGGTTGAAATGATCAGAGACAGGGTCAACACAAATGTCTCAGTCTTCCAGATCAGTGGAGGGGGGTAATTCACGGACTCTCAGAATTATTACAGTGCAGAAGGAAGCCATTTGGCTCATTGCACTGTACTGGCTCTGTTGTCCAGTGTTGTTCTATTACCAAGTGCAAATCTCCTGCCTTTTCCCCATATTCCTGTACATATTACTATCCAAAAAATTATGCCTTCAATGCCTCAATTGAAACGGCCTGCGTGACAATATCTCCATACAGTGCATTCAATGCACCAAGAACTTGCTGTGTGAAAAAGGTTTTTCTCACATCACCCTTGCTTTGTTGGCACATCACTGGTGTTGATGCCAAGGTTCTTGCTGTTTCTTCAAATCGAATCTTACCTACCACCATGGCCAAGTCTGCTTTGAAGCAGTTAAAACTGTCAACATTTTTTCAATCTTTGGCACTATTGGATCCTCCTCCTTGGCCAACGTGGCAATCTGGGACAGAACTTCTGTGAATCTGATGTGTAGAAACCCTGACATCTCTTGTTTAAACCTAGTGCGAGACTATTTTTCATAACTGCAATTTAAGAAGCACCCTAACTTATAAATATAAACAAAGCCCCACTTTATAAATTGCATGGAATTTGATTTTTTTTTTCTTTTCACTATCTCCACCACTCACCCCCCACCCCCAAATAATGTTTCCTATTTCTCTCATGAAGACATTAAATTACATCAGAGAACAGCTTTGTGGGCTCCAATCACCCATGATCCCCCTAGACTGCAAGATTTTGCAGGCTATTCATCAACATGAAAGCCCAGTCCTCCCCTTGTGTGAATAATTGCTGACTTCCATCAGGGCTTGCTGGCTAATGACCAGATCAGGCAGAGTTCGCTCTCTGTATTGGCAAACTGAATGGAATATGTACACCAAACCTGCTTTTGGGTTGCCAACTCTGGTTGGACGTATTCCTGGAGGCTTCATCACATGACCACTTAACCCCAGCCACCCCATCACCCACCCCCTGTAGTACTGCCTTTGGTCTCCTGACATCAATTCTCACTAAGCCCCCATTCCTGACTCAGTCCAACAGTTTTCTTTCCTTCATATTCCCAATTAGAAAAAAAGAACAATACAGCACAGGAACAGGTCCTTCGGCTCTCCAAGCCTGCGCCAACACATTTTGCCCTTCCATATTAAAACTGTCTCACTTACAGGATCCGTATCCTTCTATTCCCTTCCTATTCATGTATTCATCCAAGTGTTTCTTGAATGCTGCTATTATGTCTGCTTCCACCACCACCTCTGGCAACACGTTCCAGGCACTCACCACCAGGCACTTTGTGCGAAAAATGTGCCTCACACATCTGTTTTAAACTTCCCCCCTCACACCTTGAACCTGTGTCCCCTAGTAATTGACCCTTCCACCATGGGAAAAAGCCTCATACTTTCCACTCTATCCATGCCATTCACAATCTTATAAATTTCTATAAAATCAACCCTCAACCTCCTGCATTCCAGTGAAAACAAAACTAATCTATCCAACCTTTCTTTATAGCTAAAATCCCCCATACCAGGCAATTAACTGGTAAACCTTTTCTGTACTATTTCCAAAGCATTCACATCCTTCTGGTAGTGTGGTAACCAAAACTGTATGTAATATTCCAAGTGTGGCCTAACTAAAATTCTATAAAACTACAGTATAACTTGTTTATTCTTATACCCAATGCCCCTTCCAATGAAGGCAAACATGCCATAGGGCTTTTTTACTACCTTATTTACCTGCACTGCCACCTTCAGTGATCTGTGGAACTGCACACCCAGATCCCTTTGCATATCAATACTTCTAACGGTTCTGCCATTCGCTGTATAATTTCCACTTGTACTTGACCTTCCAAAATGCATCACCTCACATTTTTCCAGATTAAACTTCATCTGCCATTTTTCTGCCCATGGCTCCAACTGATCCATATCTTGATGTATCCTCTGGCAATCTTCCTCATTATTCGCAACTCCACCAATCTTTGTGTTGTCTGCAAACTTACTAATTAGACCAGCTACGTTTTCGTCCAAATCATTTATGTAGATCATGAACAGCATAGGTCCCAGCACTGATCCCTGTGGAACATCACTGGTCACAGCCCTCCATTCTGAAAAGCATCCTTGCACCACTACCCTCTGTCTCCTATGACTGAGCCAGTTCTGTACCCATCTTGCCAACTCACCCCAATACCATGTGACTTCACCTTTTGTCTCAGTCTGCTATTCGGGACCATGTCAAAGGCTTTACTGAAATCCACGTAGACAACATCAAACGCTTTACAAAATAAAAACCAACAGAACTGCGGATGCTGTAAATCAGGAACAAAAACAAAGTTGCTGGAAAAGTTCAGCAGGTCTGGCAGCATCTGTGGAGGAGAAAACAGAGCTAACATTTTGGATCCGGTGACCCTTCCTCAGAACCCCTTCCTTTGTTCTGAGGAAGGGTCACTGGACCCGAAACGTTAACTCTGTTTTCTCCATCAAACGCTTTACCCTCATCAATCATCTTCGTCACTTCCTCAAAAAGCCCGATCAAGATAGTGAGGCATGGCCTCCCCCGCACAAACCATGCTGTTTATCGCTAATCAGTCCATTTGCTTCTAAATCTTGACCCCGAGAATCTTTTAGTTTTTAAATTACCTTTTCCTAAAAACAAAAAGCGTGACTCCAGGTTTTACTCCAGGGTTGCTCTCAGCAGTGCTCTGGAGATAAAATCTTTACTTCTGAAATTTCTTGGCCTCCATTTCTTTTCTTAGATTTTCACAATCTGATGATCACACGAGAGAACTGTAATCTTAATCTTAATAGAATTGTACTCTTACAGTGATTTACCTGGAGGAGGGGGAGCTGCTCGAGTTGGGACAGATGTTATTTGAGGCCTAGTTGTTTGTTGTCTCCCTTGTGTCAAGTCCCTCCTTGTGGGTCCTAGAATGAAAAGGTACAAAATAATGGAGATTCATCAAACAAACATTCATGGCCATCAGCACTAATCAACACTAGAGAAGGATTGCAAATGAAGTTTAATCAGCAGGCTGTAAATGTACAATTAAAAGTTTCTTAGAGACAGTGTGCTTTAAACAGTTTATTTTACTCTCTCACATATGTAGCAGAAAATACCTAAACACATGCAGCATAAAAATGTGCAACTTAATTCCTTTTTAGTGCACATGATGGCTGTGTGACCCAGTGTTACCAAGCCACATAACTGATACCTGGCCTGACAGTTAGTTGCAAAACACACGCATACGCGCGCGCGCGCACACACAAACATTTTTGACACTTTCACTGCACAGTGCCTTTTTGTTTTTATGTACTTTAGTATAAATCAAACATCAAACATCAAACAAGTTCTTTATATTAATGCAATATTATTTGTTCCATACATTGTGATTTGGGTCTCAGTTGTTTTATTCTTGATTTAATTTTCTGCCCATTCTGACAAACTGGGGATTGAAATGAAGCATTCTGTTCTGTCACACAAGCTAAACAATTCTTACACTGTTCTTGGGTTAATTCACAGGATCAAATTAGTGGAGCAAGTCAATTTGACTTTTCCCATCTCCTGCTACAATCTGATCACTAATACTAGCATTTATTGTGTAACATCGTTGTGTAGATGTTCCTGTAAGGCTAAGTGCTATGGTGAATGAGTCACTTACGTGAGTTCTTAGGTAACCCTGGGCCAATGCTGACCTGCAAGGTTTTACTGCTGGGTTTGAGCACGGCCATGTTCCCATTGCCTTGGATGAACTGGATTTGGCGAGAGCTACCAGCACTCCAAGGGCCCCAGTTATCCTTCCTCACCTTCATTTCAAGTCTGAGTAACAGTAAAAACAAGTGTTAAACAGAAAGAAGACACATGCATTTATGTAGCATCTCCCAGGGCCTCTGATGACCTCAGGATGTGCAAGAAAGTCTTATGACCAATGATTTAAGAAGCCTGGTCACTATTGTACCTTTGAGAAACAGTGCAGCCAGCTGCCACACAGAAAGATCCCACAGCCAGCAATGATAATAAAGAGCCAGTTCATGTAGTTCATGTAAGGGGGTTAACTGCTGGCCAGAAAACCAGGGGACATTCCCCTGCTCTTTTTCACAATACAGCCATGGGATCCATATCCATCCGTGAGGTTTAATGGGGCCTTACCTTAATATCTCCTCCAAAAGAGTATCGCGCTGGAGTGCCAGCCTGGATTATGTGCTCCAGTGACTGGAGTGTGGTTGGAACCCACAACTTGCTTACCCAGTGGCGAGAGTGACCAGGCCAATGTGTAAAATAATGTGGAAATGCTCCAGAATGAAGCAGTTTCTGCGCCATGCACTGATGGGTTGTTAAGTAATTTGCAAGGTTTTGGAGTGCTGCATGTGTGTGCAGACCTATACAACAGCAGAAGTACTCACGTGTTACTAAATCTTAGAGGTAGTTTCCTTTGCATTCGCTCTTCGTAGCGTTTTGATAAGAGGCTGATGAACTCAGTTTTAAAGACAGACTCCAGCAGACTGTCATACTCCTGCTCATGTAGGATGAAGAAGTCATCTTGCAGTGTGCTGCAGAAAGAACAGAGTCTGGGATTTACTCTTGAATTGTCATATGCTAAATATCACCAGTTCGATCTCACTTTCAGTCTTCTTCAATGGTTAAAAAAAAAAGCAAAACACTCAGCTTGCTGGAAATCTGAACCAAATACAGGAAGCTGGAAAAACTTAGCAGGTCTGGCAGCACATGCGGAGAGAGAAACTAAAGTTAACATTTCAAATTCAGAATGGCTCTTCTTTGGCACACAGTTCTGAAGAAATCATACTGAACTTGAAACATTAACTTCTTGGAATAGTGCTTAGGACCTAAATAGATAGACAGGATTCATACCTTTGTCTCCCATTTAATAGAAGAAGTACACTAAACCACAGAGGAGGATATAAATACATAACATTCAATGTACAAACAAGCGAATTAGGAGCACCAGTAGGCCATTCAGTCCCTTGAGACTGCTGCACCATTCAATGAGGTAATGCCCAATGGGACTACGGCCTCAACTCCACATTTCCAATTACCCTCCCAATAACCATCAACTCAAAAAACAAGGGTGTTGCTAACTGAGCATAACTGCAAACAGCATTTCATACAAGTTTTGTGACTGTGACATTCACAGTGAGGCTGACATTCTGAAAGCACGAGTCGGTAGAGAACTCCAAGATGACGCTACACGACAGTTTTGTGAATGCCTAACAGTCACTGCTGCTGCTTGCTTGATCACTCTGACTTACCTCAGTGAAATGGTTAAAATCCGCTCCAACTCGATCTTTCTCTTTAGCACTTCTTTCACCTGGCCTTTCATAGGACCATCCTTTACCTTCTCTCGTCCAATGAGATACACAAACTTCGGGGTGAGCACAAGGTCACGCTTCACACTCTGGAAGCAGAACAAGTTATTTTAATATTCTGTCACAGGGAGCCAGACAAATGAATTAGTGTTCGACAGATACCAAGCAGCTTTTCAACTACATGTGATATGAGCCTTATTGAGTTGGAGAGAAGCTATCAGGACAAGAGCTGAGGTGAAAATGTTTTTTGAACTTAATTGACCCCATTGTGAATGACAACCTGATAAACTTTGATGAATAATGGAGTTTTCTTTCATGTTTCTCTTGGTCCTTCTGGGTCACAAGACCAAAGCTCCATCAACAACACTTTGTAAGCCAGTGTCCTCCAGCACCTAGCAAAGGGAACACCATAACCTGCAAGTGTCCTAACTACGAACTACATCACTGCTTCCTCACTGTCGCTGGGTCAAAATCCTGGAAGTCCCTTCCTAACAGCACTGTGGATGAGCCTATTTTATAAGGACTGAAGTGTGCAAACCACCTTCTCAAGGGCCATTAGGTATGGGGAATTCCCGGTCATGCATATGAAATGAAAAGATAGCTAAGATAAAGCATCATAGGCCTTCCATCTTTTAAATCTAATTTTTTTCTCCAGGCACAAAGCAGAATCATCCTGATGCAAGATAACAAGGTGTAGAGCTGGATGAGCACAGCAGGCCAAGCAGCGTCAGAGGAGCAGGAAAGCTGACGTTTCGGGTCTGGACCCTTCTTCAGAAATGGGGGAGGGGAAGGGAATTCTGAAATAAATAGAGAGAGGGGAGGAGGCAGATGGAAGATGGATAAAGGAGCAGATAGGTGGAGAGGAGACAGACAGGTCAAGGAGGCGGGGATGGAGCCAGTAAAGGTGAGTGTAGGTGGGGAGTTAGGATGGGGTTGGTCAGTTAAGGGAAGACGGACAGGTCAAGGAGGTGGGGATGAGGCTGGTAGGTAGGAGGTGGGGGTGGGGGTTGAAGTGAAAGGAGTGGATAGGTGGGAGAAAGGACGGACAGGTCAGGGAGGCGAGGACGAACTGGGCTGGTTTTGGGATGAGGTCGGGGATGGGAAGATTTTGAAGCTTGTGAAGTCCACATTGATACCATTGGGCTGCAGG